CCAAAACATCGGAGGCTCCGAAAGCCTCCGCCTCTAAATCCACCAACACTCTTCTCTTCGCCACAGACCCGCCCCCTGGGAAACTGGGGGCAGGGGAGGGCGTTCTCTCAGAAAGTGCACCTTGACTCCTGCGACGGTTCGTGACCAAAGGAGTGAGAGACGTGTCGGTCTCGGTATCAGAGTCCAGAAAGGCAGCAGCGAGCCTCGCCTTCTTTGGAATAGTGGAACGGTAAGTAGACTGGTATTCCAATAACTCGGGTGCAGATCTCTTTTTATACCTCAGGGCCACTTTTATGGCATTAGCGTTCTCTCGGTTCGGTCTTCGTTGGAAACGAGAGGCCTTTGCAAAAAAGAAGTGATCCATTAGAGCAACATCCAAAATAAAGTAAGAAATACAAAAGGCATTAGAAGGAGAGGCCCGAACCTGGGTAGCCGTCTTTCTGGGGCATCCTCTCAGACTGAAACTTAGCTCCGGCAGGGAACTCCCAGTTTCCACCAACTTGTAAGAAATCATCGTTGTGCTTATCCGAATCGGGCAACCCAGTAACCAAATGGCAATCAAACGAGCGAACACGCAAGTAATACGTGCTGTGGTCTTTGTTATGAGAAAGAGTATAGCAACCTAAGGTATCCCATATGTCAAGGTTCAAACCCAATCGTCTATTGAGGGCAAATACGCCGCAAACAACACAGAAAAGGTTCACAGATACTTGCATTGGAGTTAACTGGACTTGATGCAGAAACTGGCGTACCAACGAGTCAAGAGGAAACCGAACCCCTCCCTCGACTATGGTCGCGATGGGAAAAACAACGGTATTACTCGTGCCCATACGCTTGGCGTTTACTTTCGCCAACGAAAGGGTAACGTCGTCGGGAATATTATAGTCCAGGCGGAACATTAGCCATGGCCTCGGGGGTATCAACCAGCGAGCGGAACTTCCTTATTTAATAAACCTAATGAGACAGAGGTAGGACTCAGATAACAGAGTATGGAACACAGACAGCGAGTGGACCAAACAAGATGATTAAGACAGGAAGCAGTAAGAGAAGAAGAATCACAAGAGGACTTACAGAGACTAGAACAGTGGTAGCAGAGCAAGATCGGTAGCGAAAAAAGTCTGAGCAGAAGCACCAACGGGACTGGTTCAGAGGAACGGGAAGAGTCCTCTCTCTCTCTCTTTGAAACTCTCTAGAGGAGCGAAAAAGCAGATAAAGGAATTTGTATTGACAGCCAGAGCATTAATTGCACTAGCCGGCGCGTAGGTACACGGAGCACGACCTTCAGTATGGAATCGACGCACTATCTCTGCACACCTATCTCACATCGCCACGTGTCACCATGAAAGGACGCATGTAGGGATTGTGTGTCTGGATTGAACCGTCACCAAGGCCAAACTGGGGAAAACCGAAACGACGTGACGCTTGGGAAGCAGAGCAATAGCTCCCCCCAAGGGGAACCTTAGCGCGAGCTAGGGGGCAAATGAATGGGCTAAATGTGAAATGGGTCGGGTCCAAGCCTTGGGCCGGCCCAATCCACTGAAGTCCGAATCCAATTGGGCTGGATGAGTATATGGGCAAACCAATTAAGCCCAACTTCATGATCAACAGTTCACCCAAGTCCTCAAGCACATGGGCCCAACCCGCAGTGGAAAGGTTAGTCCAGCCGTGGTGCTGGGCTGGGCCGAGCTGCAAGATTGAACCTATGGGCCGAGCAGAAAATGGGCCGAGCCTATACAAAGATATTCGAATGGATCAGCCTATCTCCATGAATGATTCTGTAAAAGGCCGAGACAAGGCATAATGATGCCGAGCTGAGGCGCATCGGTACCGAGCTGAGGAAACCTCGCAAGGAAACGTGGAAGTTGTGAATGTGTGCATGTGCAAGTTGCCACCTCAGCTGGTCCCCTACACCTAGAATCACGGAAATTGTTGAATCAAAGGAATGTGGTTTGTTATCAGCATGACTACAATAAGAATATGCATTCAATGACAACTACCAGGTGATCCCCCACCTTGAGCAATGCTAAAAGGACATCTGACAGCATCCAAACTCCATGAACCCACCTTGAGAAGTAAGCAAGGAACACTATATATACAACATGAACTTCACATTGAAGGTAACTGAACGATTCCAAGTAAAACTACAAGCTCAACTCGATATACATTCTCTCTCCGATCACTAATTCCCACATCGGAGGGGTTATCCGGCCAACCTTGGCCGGGCAGCTCTAACGGTGCTTCTTGTGGCAGGAACCTCAATCCCTGGATAGTCCAACCGAGTGCGGAGCCTCGATCCACTTTCATCTAGTGCGGAATCCGGTACGCACAGCTCCCATAATAAGGGGAGAAGTAATCAATCTTTCCATTTGGTAAGAATTAAACCTTTGACCTTGCAGTTAGGAGTATATAGGAGTGACCAACTGAGATAGCCCAGTTGGTTAAACTATGTAAGTTCACCCCTCTAAAATTTTAAAAAAATGTAAATATTATGTCCTACCTTTCACTTTCTATGTCTAATACATTAAAATTTATACATCAAATTGATATAGAAAAATTGATAATCATACAAAATGTCAACAAAAAATTTTTGACAAGAAAGATGCGGTGGCGGTTTTTTTGAAATATAAATCAACTTAATGGGTCTTTGCTTCAAAATGACAAAATTATGACTGTCACATTTATGTTTTTTTTTTTATAATTTTTTATATATATATATATATCACTGCTCATTAATATTATATATATATTTTTAAAGAAAGAGAAATATTAAAGTTTTACAATATTTGGATGCTATTTTGGGTGATTAGGTCCAATACAACAATAATTACGTGAAATTTTCATTTAAACTGTGTGCATGGAGTATAAAAGAACCACCACTCATAGATAGCAATACAGATATAATAAAACATAGGGAGATTTACCAATAAATCCCAAAATGTAAACTTATGAACCAATTAGTCCCATTTTTATTCTAGTAAACCGTTTAGTCCCATTTAATTGTGAGGGACGTAATTACCCTCATCTCTAACCGTTGCTCACAGATACACAGACACACACACACAGAGATACACACACACAGAGATACATACACACACACACAGAGATACACACACACAGAGATACACACACAGATACATACACACACAGAGATACACACACACAGATACACACACAGACACACACAGATACATACATACACACACAGATACACACACACACACACACACAAATACACACATACATTACGAGGGGCAGACACACACACACAGATACATACACACACACATCTGCAGATCTGAGACTGAGATCTGAGTCGCCATCATCATCACACACACACACAATCACAGGGAGAGAAGAGAGGTCTCGATCGGTTGCGAGAGGAGAGAAGATGGAGACTGGTTGCGCCGATGGTATCAAGCGGCGGAGTGCGGCCACGGCGGCGTAGAGACGAGAGACAGAGAGCAGCAGAGAAAGATGGGGTCTGAGATGAGAGAGAGAGAGAGATCTGAAATGAGAGATGAGAGGAGTTTTGTTAGATTAAATCTGTGGAAGGGTTTGGAGGGAACGAAATTTGAGAGAGAGAGAAGCGCGGGTGGGTTGCAGACAGAAGAGGGGAAGAGTTATAATGTGGGAAATGGTGAAGTGATGGTGAAGCCCCACCAGTACATGGAAACAAAATAATAATGGGTAAAATCGTCCATACAGTTACACTAAATATGAAAAATAGGATCAATAAGAAATAAACTTCCCCACTGATAGGACTTATTCGAACAAAAGAATAAAGTTGGGACTAATTGGTTTAATAGTTTGTGAAATGGGATTTATTGGTAAATTTTCCTATTTTAATCGCTAACGAGTAGTTTGAATGTTCAAAACTAATGTTTTCATTCTTCTACAAGCTTTACATCTGTATAACGATCTTTGAATGGGTTTTGAGAATATTGTTATGCGGGTGGAAAACTGATCGTGAACGCCTCATTTATGTCCGACGGTGAAGTGCGATATAGGAGCCCTCGAATTCGGACTAGTATATCCTCGCGCTGACATGGGGGCCTCGGACGTTGGATATTGGAGATGACGGATTGAGTGGGGGGTGTTGGGTTTAGTGCTAAGAGTTGTGTGCTGGATGTTGAGGGAGATGCAAAGAGGGAATATGCTTGTTCATGATTAATGAGTTGGAAATAGGTTTTGGTTCATATTTATTTACCGGTGATACTATTATTGAAATGTGTGTAAGATTGATTGACTTGTTTGGTGAAATGGTTTGCTGAGATGTTTCATAAATAATTTGTTCAAATTTTTTGTTTTTTTCGGTCAGGCGCAGACGCGGCGCACGGAAGAGATAGGGCTGACGTCAGCCGCGGGTCGTGTGGGCGCGTGTGGGCGCGTGTCGGAAGTGACAGACGACGGATGGCGCGTGCGGGCGCGTGTGAGAGTGGTGGCGGAACTGATGACGCGCAGTTGACAACGGCGGCGCGTGTGGGCGCGTGGAAGGTTGTCTGAGGCCGGGCTTGGTGTCGTTGGAATCGTGAGGAAATTTCGAGTGGTTTGGTGTAGTGCCGCTGTGTATGGGACTAAACACCAAAATCGCAAATTGCCAGAAATGTAACTCTGGGCTCTGATACCATGAAACAATAATTTGAGAAAGTGAGAGAGGATAGAGAGAGAGAGAGAGGCACAATTGTTTTATCTGTCAAAAGAATGTATATTACACACAGAGAAGGCACTCTCTTTTATAGAGAGAAATGGATGCCTTGGATGCCTTGGAGGATGTCCACCGAAAGCATGCCTATGATGATGTCCACCTAAAGTATACAATTATACAATTACCACCGAAAGTAAACTAAAGGTAAAGGTACCTAAAGTATACAATTATACAATTATATACAATTATATATTAACACAATTATACACTAACATTATTCAACAAAGACAAAAATGATAGTACTTTACACACGAAAAAAAAACAAAGAAAAAAAAAGAGTAGAGACTGTTTCAGGTGAGTATAAAGGAACCAAAATAAGTTCCACCCTTTTCATTCACTAATCTAATTCATTGCAATGGCAACACATAATCAACTATTACTTAATTAATTCCTGTGGCATAGGATGGGACTACAAACCCTCAACCTCTGAGCAATAAAGTCTTAGAGAAAACTGAAATTTTCAAAAAGTAGTTATGTCAGTTACACTTCAGATTTTGTGGGTGGACTGATGGTGGGTGGATAGTAACCTTTTCATTTCTTGAATGTTTTATACATGTAAAAAAAAAAAAAAAAAAGACTTCTAAAATATTTGTGCAAACCTCTACGTTTTGAATTGAAATCTGCTGATGTCATGAGTTCCCACTCTTGTTGCTACTCCAGATTCCACTCCATCTGGTGTGACTTGAGGAAGGATCACTTGAAGCTCTATTTCCATCTTTATGAAAGCTTGATTTTGACAGTTCTCTCAACTGTTTCAGCCATGATTTATCTGTCATACCCGAGCCCCTCCTACTTCCAGAGCTTCTCCGCGTGTCTACTGATTCGCAGTCCACTGGTTGATCTAGCAAGAACCAGCTCTGTAGCTTTTTGATCAACTTCTGCGGAATGAAAAACAGAAAAAACCCAAGTGAAGCCGTTTTCAGACCCAATACAAAAGAGTCCTCAGCAGGATCAAGCCGTTTTGTCTGTCTATATAAAGCATACCATTCATTGATTATTTGTGTCAAAAAAGCAACTAAGAACAATGAAAGCATAAATATCCCAATTTTCACTTCATCCCCGGCTGAAAATTCCATCTCTAAGAGAAGGAAGCAAGTAGCGAAAATACCAAGTTCACTGCAAACCGAGATGATCTCCACCAGTTGAACCTTTTTCTTAATAAAGGGCTTCTTGAGAACTATGAAGAACAGCTGAAATGAGGCAATGCAAAGTAAGATAATGATTGGAGTTTTAGAAGACCAGTTCTCTGAATAGGCACCCCCAGCGATAATTCCAAGACAAACCCGTTTCATAGACTCGAGCAATGTATAGTATATTCTAAGCATACCAAACAGTTTTTGAACACAAGGTGCTTCTGCGTCTTCGGTTTCATCATCGGAGGCGATGATTTTATCACCACGCTTGCGGGGGGGATTTCCACGGGCAATCTGTGAAAGCATGTACTTTGGGGGACCCCTTAGATCTTCAAATAGAGGGCCTAACATGGTTAGCCAAACAGAGTTGGGTTGGTTCTTCCATGTCCATTGGCCTTTTTTACCAGGACCTAGAGTCACCTTGACAATATCTCGATACCAACGATATTTCCGGCTCTCTTGATGTATTTCCTTGTATTGAAGTAGTTTCCCATATGTAATTCCAATGGAGAGGAACAAGAATAAGGCTAGCAATAGGGAAGATACAATAACCAATAGGAGAATGCCAACTATAACGCCCGAAGATGCTCCTCCTTGAATCATGAAGAGAAGAAACATAATTAGCATAGTAATGGCTTAAAGTTGAGCATAAATAATTTGAGATCAGGTAGTTTTAGCTTTTGCTTTCTGATTATGAGCTTTCAACTTATTAGAAGCTGCACCAAATAGTACAACATATTATTTTCAAATTTATTACTTTATATCCAATAAACTAAGTACCCTTGTAACAAAGTTGTAATTTAACTGAAATGTCAATGCCGTTCTCTTTTGACAATGACAGAGTTATATATATGAACAACTTTGCTTCCTGGCCAATGCTGATTGAAGAAATTATTTATACTAGTTACCTTTAATTAGAGCTGTCGAAGCTTCACAAATACAAGGTAGTGCAAGAATTATGAGAAATATTTCAAATCTGGGGAAAATGAGTGCTCCGTAACTGCCCTGTTCTTCTGAGTTATTGTTCCTCAACTTTAAGATAAACAAAAGTAAACCATGCAATAGTATCAAGCTGCCACCAATAACAACTAGCCAAAATATGTTTCGGTTGAAATCCCTCCACCTAAAAGAATTAAACTAGTCAGACAAGGGGGAAAAAAATCCTAGCACTTGGCAACTTAATAAAAAGTCCAAGATGTTATGAACTATTGCGTTTTCGGTGCATTTTCTCATATAGTTTCGTTCAATATGCATCCATGAACAAATACATAGTACTCTCTCAATCATTTAATACAAAACATTTAGCTAACATTTCTTCCTACTGATACAGTGAATAAAGATTTACTAAACGCACTTGGGATGAGATATTCCAACAACTTACCCATTTGAATTATGCAGGTCCAATATATATTCAGCTACGGGTTCAATATCCTGCCAATAAAACCAGCCTATTTCTCTCAGTACTAACAGGATCTAAAACTATTTTCAAGAAAACTATTTTTTACCTCCAAAAGTGATCTGTATTCCATTGGAGTTAGTGGCGACCCGTATATTGAAGCAGCCATATATGAATTTCGTTCTCGCAATTGCACATTTTCAAAAGTTTCTAGCTCATGAATTTTGGAATTATAAGAATGTGAATTTGTTGGACAACTTGAGCCAACCATGTCTGATTGAATGTGGCCAGTTTCCCATGGGAGACTGAAGTAGGGGATACTCCATTGTAAGCCTCTTGCAAATTCATAATACTGAACGGGCAATGTGTCTGCCAAATATCGGGAGAGTGCGAAAACCTGAATGTGGCATGCACTTCTCTGTATCAACACAACACAGAAGATGCTTAATTAATTCTATGATGATACGGCATGGCTAAATAATATGTAGTTATCATTAGAAATTCTCTTAAACAATAGTACTTCCATGAAGTCCATTTCTCAGTTAATGATAAATATATTTACAGAGAGTTACCATCTATGCCGCCAAAGAGTCTTCAGCACCAATTTGCATTCAATTACTGGGTTTTTTTGTTATATGTCACCTCGCCCTCTCTCAAATGCTAGGCTTGACATAATAGTTGCTTACATTTTTTTTTTCCTCCCCAAGGTTGTGTTTAGATCATGGATTTAGACAGAAATTTGGAAAGGGAAAGGAAAAGGTGAGAGAAATTAAGAAAAATTTTAGCTTATATTTAATTCACATTTTCCTCAACTTTTCCATTCCCTTTTCAAATTGCTATCCAGATCCACCATCCCAACACAGCCTTGATCTTTTATCTTTATTTTCAATTCTGATCCATGATTGCTGACAAGATGGAGGAAAGTAAAAGAAAACATGAAATACAGTGACCAACATTCTAACAAGCAATTTCACTGGAATGAAGGTGGAATGGTATGCTCATTCCTTAGCCTCTGACGCAACAGAATAAATCACACAGGGTTAGATATCGTTTTAGTAGACGAACAAAATCCTTGAATCCCCAAGAAAGTTTTTTTTTTAAGAACTGAATTATATTTCATCAAAGATGATTTGCCCTAAGGCATACATGCATATTTATAATAAATTGAACCTTAATTAAATAAGGAAACAAGGAATTAGGATAATTACTTGCTAAACACAAAAATAAACAGAAAATTACCAAAAACAGAAAATATGAGTTAAGCCCAAATCTGTATACTAAAAAACAATAGAAACGCGCCAAAATAGACAGCGCTAAAAACGGACTTCCCAAAATAAAGTTATTCTCAAAACGAAACTTTCCTAAAACGACAAAATCACTAATTTGAAGGCCTAAACGAAGGAATTTGACTAAAATCCACCGTTCATCATTGCCAAAATGGCGATGACTTCGATTTAAAACGCCGTTTCTGATCAGACTACCAAATTTGAGATAATTCCAAGCTTGTCCAAAAGTGTCACTATTGCCCTCAATTTGGTTTCTTTCTTGCCTTTTGTCGGACCAATTGTTCTAAGAAGTCTTCGGCTACTTGTTCTATATCAGCCTCCCTACAGAATGATCAGTCATTCACAATGGTGAATGATTTCCATTTTGTAATGTAATTTTTGTCATTTTTTTCTAGTGAATCAAACGTGAGAATGTACATTCCGATGAAATAATCATTCCATTCCACCTTCATTCCAACAAACCAAATCCTTAGTAAATGTGAATTCCAATTTTCTTCTATGTTTCTTGGTAGTGTTAGCTACCAAATGAAGTCAATAGAACCCATCCAATCTAAAAGGTCCACTGAACTTGTTTCATAGAAGATCATAAAATAACAAAATAATCCAGAAATCTAGTTAATGGTAAAAAATAGATAGGTAATTTACAAAAAGATTCCTTGCAGGATCGGATGTCAAAGAAGAAGATGGTGCTGAAAATGACCCAACAGATTGAAGGCCTGCAGTTGAAAGTGTGAGCACCCCCGCAGCTGAAGCTGTCACTGCAAAAGACATAGTTGCAAAAGTGGAGAGCACCGTAGATGTTACAGGTACAGAATCTGTAAATTGTTAGTTACCCAGATCAGAACATCACTAAATAATCAAAAATAAAAATAAAAAATAGTATTCTAAAAACGATAAAATCCTTACAGTGCCTGACTTGTAGAACATTAGATGCCACATTTTTGTTTCCAGAAACGTCCTGAGTTACATTTTCAGGGATGCTGATCAATATGGTATGATCATCTGCCTGTGTCTCTAAAACATATAAGCTCCTACTCACTTCACAAAAGCTGGATTCATAAAAAGAAAATGATCAATAAATATTTCAATAACCTAAATCTGACTGCACAATGTGAAAATTTTCATGGTTTTGGAATACAATAATTTATATAGATGATAATACACATAAAACTATTATAATTTATTATATATAGATATGCCAAAACATTGTGTAGAAAATTTCTCACCTCTGCAAATGCCCTCCTCTAATGGATATATGGGAAGAATTAAAGCCAAATACAGGCTTCATGAACTTTATCAATACTGAAATATTGTTTTCTTTTGTCCTCGTGCTAGATGTTGTGCTCAATCTCACTGCAGGCCTCTGAGAATCTGAAGATTGAATCAAATCTCATGTATGCAATTTTGAAGACAATGCTAAATTATCTGTATAAAAAATATAATCTTCTCATCCAATATTATTCTCTGACAGAAAAAAACAGGATTTAATTTTATTCCCTTGAAAATAATATGATATAACTTATCCAGATGTAAAAACTACCGTAAAGAAAGGTAACCGGAGCAACAGGAGAAACTCTGGTCCCCTGTCTGCTTATTATTAAGCCTGAATTAAGGCTGATTGTGACTATACATGTGCTTGGTATTTCTTCCACCTGTGACACGATAGTGAAAATGAGATGATTGGCACAAAGTTAGGGAAAATATATTTGTCTGTAGAGAAATAAACATTAGAATATAAAGCTCAAATCTATTAGCCAACTAACCATAAAGCCAAATCTGCGATTTCTGAGCCTATTTCCACTAATAGGAAGAAGTGAGCCCTGACTTGTATGGAGAGAATTTAAAATTTCAGCAGATGAGTTGAGAACGGGTACTGAGAAGTACAGATATACTTTGAGGTTTTTATGATTATTAGTTGCTTGTACAGTTCTAGTTTCATTGTTATGTTGAAGTAGCCTTTCAGGGATATGAGTCCGCAAATTGACAAAGACACTTCTCCTATCTGTAGAATCCGACCACCAAAATATCAGAGTAAGTTAGATACTGTTCATAGAAACGCAGATTATCATATCATTAACTTCTTTCAGAAGTTTATAATCTAGAGACATCTGACAAAAGTTTATGGTAAACTAATCATACAAAAATCCCAAATAGAATATCAAACTCACCAAAATGTATCAAAAAACTTGAATTTTCTGTTCTTGTAAATTTGTTTCCAGCATTATCTGTACAGAAATTTTTGTCCATGACCAAGATCACTCGTCCATATTCAACAATCGAAGACAAACTCACAATAAGAGAAAATTTGAGGTTGGGCTCAAGAATGTTGAGTGTAGTTGGTACAACTTGGCCAGCACCATAGACAAGAAGCTGAAATGAGAAAGGCATTTGTCCATTATTTTTCAATTCATTTTTCACTTTGCAGACTTCCCTTGGCAGGGCAACTGTATGGCTGTACCAAATTGTTACAAATCAAATTGATAGTGCAATAGAACATTGTGGAAAACTTAAAAAAGGGGAACCTACAACAAAAATCACTGATCACAAAGAATTATCAGAAATGTATAAATTAACAAAAGCAACAACATATTCAATACAAGAAAAGAAAAAGATTGAGACCCCTAAAAAGCCTCCCCTAATTTTACCCTCAATGACATGACAAGTTACGTGACAACTATTGATTTGTCAGAAACTGAAAACCATGTAAGGCCCAACTCCCTTACCATGTCAATGTAGGTGAATTTAGGGATTCAAATTGTGGGTCTTGTGGCAGGTTGAGTGTCAATTTTTTATTTGCCACAAGCTCAACCATGTAAAGCGCAACTCCCTTGCCATGTCATTGTGGGTGAGTTTAGGGATTTAAATTGTGGGTCTCTAGCATTCTTGTACAAGAAATTACGAAGTAGGTATAATTTATTTGAGGTTCTCTTCAAGTATTTAGGCAAGTTTGACTATTACTCTTCAGCCATGGAGATATTTCAACATTATCTTTGTGTCCTGTGTGTTATTGATCTCACCATATGAATATTTCAACTATCCATTTCTGTATGTATAGGGACAAAGCTGTGATATAAATATTTCAACTATCCATTTCTGTATGTATAGGGACAAAACTGTGAAAGAAGCGAACCTCTCATAAATCCATAATTTATGGACAATGCGAAAGTGATTATATACAAGAGCAGAGGAGGGATGCAGAAAACTATTGAGATGCTTAAATTCCATGTGGTCAAGTACTCACATTGCAGGTATTTGTGGACGAACATCCAAAACCACCTCCACCAGTACATGGTTCACTGAAAGAAATATTTACGGTAACATTTCGAGTATTTGTAAAAGATGTTGTTGCCATAACATATGCTGTAGGGGGAATGGTGTCTGCATTGTTAAAGGTATAACAGAATTAGAAAGAACTTCAAAACACTAAGGCCCTAAAAGTTCCAATGTATGTAATCTCAACTTTCATACTTACATACGGTTCCCTCATTCATAATTTCAGAAACTCCTACCTCCTATGTTATCAACGTGTTTTTAACTGAGTAGACATTTTGAAAGCCAAAAGGTTCAGTGTTTGGATAGATGTGTTTTATACATTAAACACAGTTTGGAGTATGATTATGTTTTATGCTTTCATCCAAGTTGGATTTTCAGGACGAAGAAAGCAAAAGAAAATAGAAGAACCTTTAACAGTTACAAGTTGGATGAAGTTTTAGTGAATCCCAGTTTGATTCGGGGCTATTGGCAAAAACAAAATACGATCATCTTCCATGATATCATTTTTTAATGAACAACATTGAACGAGATAAGACATTTTTGTTGGACTAGTGTGGATCCTAATAAGTATGAGACACTAACCACTCGACCATGAGCAATGCCTCCCTTGCTCGAATAACCAGCCTGAGGGAAGTATTCGTTAAGAAATCCGTAAGCAAATAGGGTCATTTTGGAAATATTCGCAGTTGTGACTAGTCCTAATTTCTATGATTTCTAGTTAAGGGTAAACAACTATCTTTGTATGGCTTATAACCTTTCTGATCACAGTGAAAACTTAACCTTAATTTTGGGATGAACCACATAAATCTTTGTGTTATTGTGTGCTTGATTAGAATCTTATTTTTATTTTGATTTGTGTCTTGTGTCTCATCAATCCTGGTTAGATGTATCAATTCCTAACAATTTCATGCTAACACAACAGACAAAAAATCAACAAGAAGATCTCATAAAGGATAAAGGATGGTTTCCTAACCAACAGTCCAGTTATGGATAGCACAGCCAACACCTTGAGGCCCATTGGTGCAGACCTTGAACGTATGATTTCCATCCTGCAACCCCATGTAAGAAACTTCTCTAGTGTCACAATTTGAAGGCTTTCCACCATCCAACTGCATGAACAGTGTACAAATATATGTTAGTCCACAAAAACAAAATAAAATAAAAATGACCAAATTAATTTCATAAAAAAATAATAATAATTCAACAAATTACTGAGGCCCCTTCTGATAAGTTCCCCTCCATACTTCATCTCTCCATACCTCTTCAGACTCCAATTCACCCGCACCGATAATTCAAATCGTCTATTTCGTAAGTTTCGTAATAAAAGTCATCCATGCAAACAAACAATATGGGCTACCCACCCAGATAAACAATCAAGAAAGAAGGAAAAATATAGGCCTAGAACACAGTCAAGCCATGCAACTTGGCATTTGGATAGATTTTTAATAGAAGTTGCAATAGGTGAACTTTATAATCCAAAGATAAAATTCTAATGAATGAGAGATTAAATAAGCCTCAAATTCCCAAGTTTTTGTCAACTAATCTATTATAGAATTTCTCAAGACCTATCACATCTCTATTGAAAAAAAAAAAATAATCCCCAAAGGGAACAACAAATTGTCTAGAGCTCAGAACTATAAAGTGGAAATCCCCAGAACAGATCCATAGCATCAATTAAGAGTGACCAAAAACTTTCTAGCTACCCACATGAACATAGGAATCAGAAGATATACAGAAACACAAGAGAGACAAACCGTGCAATTGGTGTTGCAATTTGTGCAAATGTTGTTGTGCCCATTAGGACCCAACAAAACTTGAAAGCCAAATGTAGCTGAGTTCAGATTTGAGAAAGCATGGGGGGTCTTCAAGAACTTTACAGAGACCTCTGATGAAGTGTCACAATGAACTTTCATACACAAAACCACAAAAACCCAACAGTACAGAACCAGCCATGCAGCTTTGCCAAAACCCATCTCAGAAAAACAAAAACACAAAAAAGGATTGAACCAGAATTATATGTTAGACATGTGTAATTTGAGAGGTGGTTTTGTTTCGATGGCTAGTGAGCTGAATTTTATGTTTTGGTTTCTGGCGTAGAGAGTATGGAAGTGTGGAGGTTATTGCATTGTGTCCTGGAAACTAGTGGTGAATATGTGCGTGCGTTTGAGATGGAGATAAGAGAAAATAATTGCAAGTGTCTCAAAATAAAAACATCACCAATCACAATCATTTGGGGTCATGAAAGTGTCTCAAAATGGGGTCCCAGGTATTTTCCCGGGAACTAGTATGGGAATTAGAAATTGTGAATCCTTTGGCTTCGTCTGAAAAGTCGGTTGTTTTTTAAATTTTTTTGACTTTTTTAATTAGTTTAGCTTGAGGTTAAAAAGTTTAGTATGGAAAGTACTTTTGATTTTTTTGTGAGAGAAAGAGTATAATAATTATGGATTGGATGTGATGTTTTATCTTATTAGACTAAAAAGCCTATTATATTTTTCTCAAACCCAACTTCCCAAGCATCTTCTTTATTTTGACAAAGTAAAGTGGCACAATATTAGGAAATTATTCAATATTCTCGAAATACCACATGTCTGTACTTCCTAAATAATCATTATTCAATATGTTTCTCATGTTTCTCAATTACCCATCACAATATCCTATGTATTCACCTTCTCTACTAATCATGATATTATGAAATACCACATATAGATGTTTCGAAATTACTGAGTAATTACCACACAATATTAGTGTAAAAACGAACCTTATACTCAAAAAAGATACAACATTCACACAAATGAATGGTGGAAATTAGATCAATTTTAGTCGCTATATCGTTTCAGCGACTAAATATTGGACTTTTGGCGACCAATATTTTGGTAGCTAAAAGTGACATTTCTTGTAGTGTAGGTTTGTAGCATGACTCTATTATTAATGGGAAAATAACACAATAGAGCAAGTTTTCAAAAAAAAAAAATATCAAACTAATAGAAAATTTTATACATATTAATAACTAAATTTGTAAATTTTTCTATGAATTTGTACTTTTTTTTTCCAGACTTTACTAACATGTAATAATCCCATTATTAATTGTAATTAGCTTGTTTGGTTATGGTTTTCAAAAAATAATTTTCAAAAAATTTTATTTTTTTATTTTTTGTATTTTAATATTTTCAATGATTTTTTTTTAATATTTTAAGCAATTTTTTTTAAAAAAATTTTAGACACACCTACCATAAATACACTTAAAAAGTATAATATTTGTAAAAAAATCTTTAAAAAATACACTAAATACCAAAAAATACAACAACAAAAAAAAGAAAAAGAAAATCAGTACATTTTTTTATATTTTTGTGTATTTATTAATTTTTTAAAATAATTTTTCACAAATATTTTACTATTTAGATACATTTAAGTGAGGTACATCTAAAAAAGTAAAAAAATTATTTAAAATTTAAAAAATATTCAATAAAAACAAAAAAATTCGTTTTTAAACAAACCGAATTCAGAAAACTGAAACCAACACACTAATTATAATTTATCTTTATTAATTTATTTAGTAATATCAAATGAAAGATCATGTAGTAGTTAATAACTTATGCTATTGCCAAGCCTAGTTCAAGTGATTGTATTTCTAATTCAAGTTTATGAAGAGCCTTAACTATATCGACTCATAAAGCTTACATGATTATATTTTGAGATTGTGAAGCCTATCACAATGTATTTTGATTATTTAAATTTTTGATTAGATAATTGTAACTATATCATCAGATTAAGTTTCGAATATTGATATAGGTCACATGGTGAGATCACCAAAGCTTAACCCTTTGTATTTGAATACAATCTAATGAACCCTTTGTATTTGAATACAATCTAATGAATACTTTACATGATAGGAGAGGTTTCTCTTGAGTCCACATCTGGATCTAAAAGGATTGTTTGGGCCTGTGAGCCTCATTACGGATCCCGTTTTAATTATTCAAATAGTTCATTTTATCGGGCGTAATGTGTATATCATTTATAAAAAAAAAAAAATATTAAGTTGATTCGATAATAGTAACTCTTTTATTTTATTGCATTTGTATCCAAAAAAATAGATGGTTTGTTCTAAAAACATATTGACTGGTAATTTTTTTTGGAGACAAACTCTATAAAATGAAGAGGTTACAAATATCAAATTAACCTGAATTTTTTTATGAATGATATACACACTAAACCTGATAAAATGAATAATTTAAATTATTGAAACAAGACTCATAATAAGGTCTCGTTTGACAAGTGGCTTTTTTAGCCAAAAAGTAAAAAAATTATTAAAAAAATAAAAAAGCCAACAACCCATACGAAAAAGTCAAAGATTCCCTTTCCTCTCTACTTTTTTCACATCTTTTCGTAAAAAGTTAAAAAGTCATCCTAAATATACTAATTTTTTTATGTCACATTTTAACCAAAAAAAATCAAAAAATTAATAAAAAAACCTGTTACCAAACGAGATCTAAATCTCACAAGCCAAAATAGTCCTCTCCAATTCAAATAAGCCTGCAAAGAAGCCAATCCCTTGCATAATACTAATCACACATATCATGCGCACACAAAATATTGGTGTCAACGCTTTCAGTATAAAAGATGGGATCTGTTGGATAATCTGATTAGTGAATATTGGTGTTTATACTTTCTATGCAAAAGTTAAAATCTATTAAATAATTTGATTAGTGTCATATGAGTTGCTACATACATTTTAATTCAAGAGGAGATCATTACTTTTAGGCATCCCACTAATAATAATTCTAAAGATTGTCAACAAGGAAACACAAAATGTCAGAATACAGGGACAAATGGATTCTAACATAGAGGAGTGAACATATATTCAAACAAAATTTTTAAAATGAAGTGTAAACTGTGACATCAATTTTTACAGACACAAAATGTAAAAAATAGCATAATATATATATAAATATGTTCTTCTATACTCATATTGAGTTATAAAAGATTAATTGTAGGACAATTTATCAACACTAATTGTGAGGAACTAGAATTTTTTTTATTATATTTGTTGAAATTGTTAAATTTTATACTTTGAATCTCACCTTTCATTTATAAAAAGTGTATAGGTCATGCAAATACCTTTTTTTCCCCAAACCTCGTGGGGGTAAATATTTATAATTTAAAAATAATTAATAGTTAATACTAATATATAAATGATTTTTTGAAATCGTGGGGGCAATCGCCTCCCCTTGCCCCTTGTAGGTTCATCATTGTCAAAATATTTATAATGTCATTACATTTTTCACATATTACAAATCACTTATATATTTTTATAAGATAAATAATGAGATACCTATTTTTGTTGACAAAAGATAAATAATGACACATATTTAACGAAAGTTTTATGAAATAAATAATTTTAAAAAATGATTCATCCACACAACTCTCCCTTTTCCTAAACTCCTAGAATGATGTGACAAACAAAATTTCAAAAATTGACGTATGCTCTAATATTTTCTCAAAATTTTCTTACTTAATTTTTTTACCAGTTTGCATTTTGTCTTGCTACCATATTCGGGGGGTTCGGAAGGGAAGAATTGTATGAATGTAGCACTGCTAAATGATTTTATATAGTGAATTTCACATAAGATTTCATATTTATAGGAGAGAATAAAATAAAAGAAAAAAATTACGTATAAATATTCATATTTCATAGGTAACCAAATAAAAATGAGCTCTGATCAAATAAATAAATAAATAAAAATGAGCTTCTTCTTTTTCTTTTCTTTTTTTATTCATTTTCTTAACCCAACAAAAATAAATATATTTATTTTCATTTTCATTTTATTTTTATTTTCTATTTCTTTATTTTCTGTTTAACCAAACACAACATAGAAAGATAATTTGTCAAAATAATTTTTTACTTGTACAAAAATTAATTATAATTCACATTTATACAATGTGAAAATATTGTGTCAAACTATTCGATTTTTGTGTTCATTTACTTTTACTTTTAACCGGAAGATATGCATGTATTGTTATGAAGAATTGAGGTGAATTTGAAGCTTAAATCTTGGACTATATGGGAGACAAAAACAAAAGCATTTGGACCATATATAATTCCATCTACAACAAGACAAATTGTCACTCAAGAGTTCAAAGACAAATAAAAATAAATGATATGCACCATTGTTGTCCATTTGCCAACAACCGCTCTTGAAAATCAGAGTGGTCGAATTTTTGAGATTGTAACAACACCATTTTAAATTTTACTTTTGAAAGCTCCTTTACATATCAATTTCACCAAAATTAAATTAAATTGAATGGCTCATGTAATTCAAGCATGTTGATATTTCAACGGTCAATTTGGTACATGTTTTTATTAAGGTTGTGATTTCAATCAAGCAAGCTAACTACATCAAGGGGTACTTGCAGATGAGATTAGGTCGAGTGACCTTTCATTCACTGTTCGTCCAAACTTAAATGAATTAAAATAATTAATTTGTATTCGTCCGCTTAGTTAGCAAATACAGATTGAGTGGGCCATACAGGTTGCTGGTGGATGCAAATCGGTTTGACGGTTTGGATTTCATTATTATAGATTTTTTTCAAACTACTCTCCAATAATTCTTCACTATTTTGGGCCTAAAATTTTTTATTTTTCATTTTTTTATAATTAAAATAAATGCCCAACTTTCATATTTTATAAATAGTAAATATAATTACTAAATAAAATGTCTTTTTCTTAACAAACAAAGCATAATATTATTTTCTTAGAGGTGTTGGTGGATTGGCTGGGTTGGGTTGGGTTGGGTGGCCTCCCCATCCACCATCCGTCCGGACTTTGCAGGAATGAAAAAATATATTCGCATCTGTCCGCTCGAACCATTAAAAACTTCTATTTTATAATGAATTGGTTTGGGCCATTTGATTTTAGCGGGTCAAAAGAATGCTTGCCCAGCCTTACATGACATAGATTAACTAACAAAATTAAACATTTAAAACATCAATAATTATACTTATATTGGTAATAAACATGAGTAATGAGACTTATTAAATTAATATAGTATTAACATATAAAACAATAAATATATTATTGTAAGAATGGCAATTCTAACATAAGGTTGGATAAAAAAAAGCTAGAGATCGAGGACTTGTTTGATTAGACGGATTACAATATATGATTGAAATTACTAATT